TGCACAATCAGCTTGTAACACTCCAAAGAGAAAGGAAAACTTGAAATCGCATCATATGACCCCTTTAAGAAGCAACATGTTTGAGCTCATTAATGGCTGCAGGTGTTTCGCGTTACCGGTCCGAGACCTTAAAAACTCTCCGTTTGTGACCGAAAGACAAATGTATGTGTGTGAGTGATGGGATGAAAGTGTGTGATTATTGAGCGAGCGTGAGAGAATGTGTGTAAAAGGAGGCAATACAACAACAACAACAACAAAAAGTGGGTGAAATGCAGTTGAGTCTGATACCCCAAAATATCTGACTTCTACTTCATTTATCTGTGCAAAGCCACGAGGGAAAGTATTGACTGAAAGAGTGTGTCTGGAGAACCTGAGGGAGGGAATCTCTCTGATGGGAAGCACAATCTCAATTCCACCCTGATTTCATTAAATGATTAGAGTTGACGGAGAAGATGAAATCCCAGCATGCAGCGCAGTGTCTGTCTGGAATCCAGAGAGATCTCGAGCTGAACCTGCAGACTTCAGCGTCAAATCAAGCGATTAAACTCCACTGAAAACACGTATTGAGCCACAAAATCAAGTGCATGAGGAAAACGACACATTTCATAATTTTGCATTGAATTACATTATTTTCTTCAGTGAAATCAAGCACATTCACGCTAAATGTGACGTTTTTAACACGCAGTCCTGTGTGCAACCAGATTTTGACGTCGTGTGTTTGATTAAAAGCTGAACAGGGGTTTCTACAGTGTAAATTAACTGTGAAGGACAAATCCGAGGCTGAAATGTCAGAAGTGTTTGCTGAAGTGAAGCGATAATATTATGATTTCAATTCCGATTTTATTTCTGGACTGGTTTTTGTGTTCGTGACTATCATTTATACGTTTAATCACGTCGCGTTGTTCCAAAACACTCTTAAATGTCAAGCTGCTTTATTATAGTATCATGATGATAGAGGAGATGAGCGTGTGGGTGAAGATGATAGTCCTCTCACACACACACACACACACACACACACATCTGCATGTCATGACTAACTCACGCTGTCTGTCTTCATTAACGTTAATGTTTAAACCTCCACAGCATCAAAATATGACGGAATCTGTTCACTCAAAAAACATCATTCTTAAACTACAAAACAAGCTTAGTATGGGTTGCAATTTATAGTCTTTCAAGAACTCAAAATGCAAAGTGATGGTATCAGATGGTAAAATCGTGGTAGCATATGATTTAAACAGTAGGCTACTTTTTGAAAATGCATGTTGAAAATCTAAATTTTAACACCTTTTGAGTCAGAATACGTTATTACTTAATAATTC